ATATTATGTATATATATAGGGTCACGCTCCAGTGAGAATGGTTCCCCAGGAAAGAAATAAGAATAAATTTAGACCACAAGATTGATATCATCTGGTGGCCAGCAACAACCCACTTTCACGTAACTAGAGGGGCAAACTAGTAACTGCATTATACACAGCATCCACATACCCACCCCATTACCCACTCTCTGTACACATTAACTACACGTTCTCTGTACACATTAAACACGCACACACACCGAAACACACACAATCCCACACACACACAACCGTCGGCCGCCGCAACTGCCGCCTTCCTCCGCCGCTGACGTCCACCTGCTAGTCGTCGTCGTTGTCTTCCACCTCGCCGGACATTTTCGATTCCGCCCCTTGCCCTCGTCACGAGTCTCCTCTTCAAGTGGGTCGTCGAGGTCGAGACGACACCTGTTCCACCACCACGCACCGCCGGCGTCACCCCTCTCTGTGGTGGTTCGCCTCAACTTAGTCGGTGAATGAGACAACAAGGGTGGCGTTTCGATTTAGACCACCATATGTCATTAGGTTCGTCGTTCGAATAGAGAGAACTCAACCGCTGCTCGTCACCCTTTAACACATCTGGTCGTCGTCATTAACTCGTCGTGAGTATGGCGGCTTGCGCCCTCTAACGCCGCCGCTGGTCGGAAAAACGTAAAAAAAATGTAAAACCGGCGAGAGATCACCGTAGAGAGGATAAGCGGCAGGACTGGATCGGTGTGGCCGGTCAGAGGTCTGCCACGGGTGGGAGAAGAGCTGAGAAATGGATTTCTGGCTAAGGACTAGTGTTTGAAATTTTGATAAGCTATAAGGACCCGTTTGCAATTTTAATAGTTTTAGTTAATTGCAATTAAGCTATTGGGGTAAATATGTGAATTCAAAAAACATTAACTATATTCTAATTTACTCCATGGAGAAAATTTGTAATTTATAGAAAATATATAAACCATATTATTTTGTATATAAATATATATTTTTAAACATATATATTTTGTATTATAAACCAAAAATAATATAAAATTATTTTATAAAAATATTAAAATATTAAATATATCTTTAAAATATAAAATGAAATTTATTTTGATTGTTTACGTTAATCCGATTAACAACCGATTAAGAAAAAATCATACACTCCATAATTCATCAGATGCACATTAGAGGAAGCTAGAGGGCACATTAGAGGCAGACCAAATGCACATTTCATTCCAACTTCTACTTTATTAAAAATAAATAAATAAATAAATAAAATAGATCTAACTATTTAAAAAATTATTTATATATATATATTATCTAAAATATATATTATTAACAATAAAATAAAATATTAATTAATCATTATTCGAAATATTGAATATACTTTTTTATAATATAAAAAGTTTGATAGATGAACAATAATATTAATTAAAGTACAAATTACTGATTTTTTCTAAAATTGAAATGAATATAGAAACATCACGCTATTCAGACTGCACAATAATACTAGATTAAATGCACATTTCTTTATATGTGAGTGCACATTATTAATTTCGATATTTCATATATATATATATATATATATATATGGCTTTTTCAATCATGATTAATAAAAATATTCAATATACATATTAAAAAGTTAAATATAACTTTATAATATAATAATAATTATTTCATTTGTTTATGCTATTTACGGTTAAATGTTCGAAAAAAAACATTTCTTCCAATTTAATTTTAATTTGGTTTGTGACAAACAATAAAAAAACGAATGTGATACGAGCGCACAATATCATTAGACGAATTGAACATTAATTACTATCATATGCACGACATGAATCAGGACCGATCGAACTAACATTTGTTGTTCAAAAAATTATATTTCGAGTAGATTATCTATTTTACTTTTAAAATATCGTTAATTATAGTTCAATGTCGACTTTATTTTTTAAATAGCCGAAATAATAGAACCGCGCGAAGTATATAAAATTATTATTATTATTATTATTATTATTATTATTATCATTATTATTATTATTATTATTATTATTATTATTATTATTATTATTATTATTATTATTATTATTATTATTATTATTATTATTGTTATTATTATTATATTGTATTTTTATGTATTGCAAATGCACAATAGTGTTAGACAAATTGGACATCAATGACTAACATATTGCACAATAGCGACCGAAAATAAAAATAAAAAATATTGAATATTAAATAAACATATAAAAATAAAAAATAATATCGGCGCCAACCAATTAAAAATTTTGTGTAAATATTTATTGATTTTGTTTTATTTACTTTAAAAAAAACTAATTATAGTTTTTGACATTTTGGTCGATCGATTCGACCAAATCGACCGACACATTATTATACATTCCATATATTTTTTAAGATTTTAATGTGCATGTACACAAAATATATTATGCATTCTATTGAAAATTATTGTGCAATTTGAAGTTTTGTTAAATTATAAATTTTATTCATTAACTAAATTGTAATATACATAAAAGAAATTTAGTGCAACCAAGTCCTTGAGGATTTTTTAAATCACTAATTTGTATCATGTAATGTACTAAATTGAAAAGTGAAAACATTACAATCAAAGAAATTGCAATTAACACCCCCTAATATGTCAAATTTTCCAAACAAACCCCACAAATCAAAACCCACTTCAAATTCCTGCTCATCTTCTCCAAGTACCCCCTCAGTTTTTTAATTTTTTTTCACGGCAGCATCCTCCTCGACGTGGCAGCCGGCGCCACCATGGAGAAGACGACGGTGGTACCGCTTGACGCAACAACAAAACATCAACCTCAAAAATCGACAAATGTATCATGTGTCGTCGGCGACGGCGCCGGCGCTGGCACTGAGCCAAGCGCTCGGCCATCGTGTCGGCTGCAATGACATCATCATCGGAGGGTACAGAGGACAACCTCACGCGTTGTGCCCTGGAGGACGTCGCCATCGTCAACGCCGCTGCCGCTGGAAAGAGGAAGTCCGGCGAGATGTGAAGCGTTTCTTCGAGTCAATTGGTGCTCTTGTTGAGAGATGACGAAGACGGACAACAGGATGGTCGATCTCACGCTCAAGCAACTTCAAGAGAGATTTGACAGACAAACTTTGACACAACAATAAAAAAATCAGAGTGTGCATGAATCGATTGAAGAACTTAAATCGATGATGCAAAATCTCTCGAAGCAGTTGGTGGGAGGAAGTACAGGAGGGTCATTTGAGAGGAGCACAACTCCTCCATATCGTCACCCGATTATGAAGTTAGATTTACCTCGATTTGATGGAACTGGTCCTGATGGGTGGATTTTTAGGGTGCAAGAATATTTTAATTACCATGAGACTCCTGATGATCAACGAATTCGTATTGTTGCTTTCACGATGGAGGGAAAGGCATCGGAGTGGTACCAGTGGGCGAAGGGCAGCAATATCTTGTGTTCGTGGAGCGAGCTCTTACGACGAGTTAGAATTCGATTCGGGCCCTCCCAATTTGAAGATTATGTGGGAAAATTATCTAAATTGACGCAACAAGGCACGACGGAGGATTACCAGGCTGAATTTGAATGCCTAATGAACAAAGTGACATCGATTAGCGAACCTGTGTTGATTTCGGTGTTCATAGTTGGCCTAAAAGCTGATATTCAACGTCAGTTGCTTATTTCCATGCCCAAAACATTGGTGGAAGCTTTTGCACTAGCGAGGGTTTATAAATCGAGGTACGCAGAGGCTACACCCAAGTACCGGGTAGCGAACCGATGGAGTGGTATTACAAACACAACACTTGATTTGGGGGGGCACAAGAAACACACAAGCTGGAACACCAACCACAACAGGTAAAGTGGCTGGGATCACAACCCAGATCCGAAGTGATAGTGTTCAGGTGGTGAAAGGATCCAAAGGGTCCATTCCAGTCAAGAATATTAATCGGGCTGAGATGAAGGAGCGACGACTCAAGGGCTTGTGCTATAATTGTGATGATAAGTGGTCTCCGTCCCATAAATGCGCTAATTTGTTCTTGATATACGTAGGATCAGATGAGGACTTGGAAGAAATTCCCGAGCCTTCAGAAGAGGAAGAGTTAACTATCCAAGGAGATGTTTCTAGTCTCAATGCATTAGCTGGCTCGGATAGGCCTCGATCGTTGCGAGTATGGGGAAGAATTAACGAGAAGCGTGTCCACGTGTTGATAGACAGCGGGAGTACACATAACTTCATTCGGCCTGACGTTGCAGAACGCTTGAGGTTACCGGTGGAACCTATAGCACCTTTTAAGGTTTATGTGGGGAGTGGCGACTCACTAGTTTGCCGAAATCGAAGTCTAGAGTTAGCTCTAGAGATGCAGGGGACGAGTTTCGAAGTCGCACTTTATGTATTACCTATTCAAGGGCCCGAAATTGTCCTTGGGATGCCATGGCTTCGTGAATTAGGAAGGGTTGTTCATGACTATAAATAATTAACTATGGAATTTGAATGGAACGGTAAAAGGGTAAATTTGCAAGGAGTTGAAGGAATGGAGCCGAGGCAAATTTCTTACAATCGGTTGTGTGCATTAATGGATACTGATACAGTACACGAAATTTATGAGATCATTGATGTCCCAAAAATTCCCGAGCAAATGAATGATCGAGAACCAGCAGACCCTTTAGCAGGAATGCCTGGGAGTTTTCGAGAACTCTTGAAGGAGTACGAGGGAATTTTTGGCAAACCAGATGGGTTACCGCCTCGGCGGATATTTGATCATCGCATTCATCTACAGCCAGGATCGCGGCCTGTCAACGTTCGACCATATCGATATCTCTATTTTCAAAAAGACGAGATTGAGAAGTTGGTGAAAGAGATGTTAAATCAAGGGATAATAAGAAGGAGTCATAGCCCGTTCTCATCGCCTGTGCTTTTGGTCAAGAAAAAATATGGTACCTACAGGTTTTGTGTCGACTATAGAGCTTTGAATTCACTTACCGTAAAGGATAAATTTCCAATCCCTACGGCTGATGAATTGCTTGATGAGTTAGGGAAGGCTCGATACTTTTCTAAGTTAGACTTGCGAGCAGGTTACCATCAAATCCGAGTTCATGAAAAGGACATCTATAAGACATCTTTTCGCACTCATGAAGGGCACTATGAGTTTCTCGTGATGCCGTTCGGACTTACCAATGCCCCATCAACGTTTCAGGCTGTCATGAACAGTACCTTGGCGGATTATTTACGAAAATTTGTTGTCGTTTTCTTTGATGACATTTTAATTTATAGTCCATCGATCGAGGATCATCTATCATAATTGGCGGTTGTTATCAAGTGTTTACAGACTAATAATTTTTTTGTTAGACTGAAAAAATGCCAATTTTGTAAAACTCAAATTGAATATCTCGGTCACATAATTCAGGCAGGTGGAATTCGGGCAGATGATCGAAAAATTGAGGTTATGGTGCAATGGTCTATTCCCAAGAACTTAAAGCAACTGAGGGGGTTTCTCGGGCTTACTGGATATTACCGCCGATTTATAAAAGAATATGCGGGAATAGCAGCCCCTCTTACTAACTTACTTAAAAAAGATGCTTTTCAGTGGTCTACAGAAGCTGAATTGGCGTTTAATCAGTTAAAAGGGATGATGACTCAGACACCTTTGTTGCGATTACCGAATTTTGAAGTTGTTGGTGTTATATACTTAAGCTTTGCTTTACTGGATATTACACTTGTTATTCCTTGATGAATGACAATTATGTTTGGTTAAATGAGTTCTACGTTCTGTTGTTTTGCATGTAGATAAGTGGGTCGTCATCGGGCGTACCG